GAAACCAACCGCCCTCAATCAGTGAAATTCTTGCAAATGTTCGAAACGAATGTGCGCGGCGCTGAGGCGAGAGCCACATGTTGAAAATCACCCGCCCTCAACCCGTAAAACTCTTGCAATTTTTTAAAACGAGTGTGCGCGGCGCTAATACGAGAGCCAGATTCTGAAAAGCACCCGCCCTCGATTTGTGAAGCTGTTGCCATTCTTGAAGCTTCAGAGTCATACGTGGTGAGGAAGTCTCAGGCGAAACGCCCGGCCCGCTCTGAAAACTGGCCTCGGGGTGCGACAGGGAAAACATATTATGAAGGAAAAGGAGTGGTGGAGGAGGAAGAGGAGGAGGAGGAGGAGGAGGAGGAGGAGGAGGAGGAGGAGGAGGAGGAGGAGGAGGAGGAGGAGGAGGAGGAGGTCTGCGCCCCCGTGGTTTTCGGCGCCCGTTTGGTGCCCTTTTGGTTTTCGGTGCCTTTTTTATTTTCGGCGCCCGTCTGTTTTTCGCCACCGCCTTTGTTTTCGGGCTCCTTTGTTGGATATCGGCGCCCCTTTGGCCTTCGGCGCTCTTTGGTATTCGGCCCCCCTTCAGTTTTCGGCGCCCGCCCTTTTGGTTTTCGGCGCCCCTCTCAGGTTTTCGGCGCTTCTTTGGTTTTGGGCGCTCGTTTTGTTTTTTTCGACCTCTTGGTGTTTGGCGCCCTATTCGTTTCCGGCGCTCCTTTTGGTTTTCGGTGTCCTGTTGGTTTTCGGCGCCCTCTTGGTTTTGGGTGCCCCTTTGGTTTTCGGCGCCCCTTTTTGTGTTCGGCGCTCCTTTGGTTTTCGGGCCCCTTCAGGTCTTCGGCCCCCCATTGATTTTCGGTGTCCCTTTGGTATTCGGCGCCCTTTTCAAGTTCGGCGCCTCTTTGGTTTTCGGCGCCGTTTTGCTTCTCGGGGCCCTTTTGGTTATCGGCGCTCCTTTGGTTTTCGGCGCCCTTTTGGTTTTCGGCGCTGTTTTGGTCTGCGGTGCCCTTCTGGTGTTCGGCGACGCTTTGGTTTTCGGCGCCCCGTTGGTTTTCGCCGCCCTTTTCAAGTTCGGCGACCCTTTGGGTTTCGGCGCCCGTTTTTGTTTCGGCGCTCTTTGGTTTTCGGCGCCCTTTTGGTTTTCGGCGCTGCTCTGGTTTTCGGCGCCCCGCTGGGTTTCGGGGCCTTTTTTGTTTCTCGGCGCCTCTCTGATTTTCGGCGTTCTTTTGGTTTTCGGCGCCTTTGGGTTTTCGGCGCGCCTTTGCTTTTCGGCGCTCTTTTGGCTGTGGTGCTTCTTTGGCTCTTGGCGCCCTTTTGGTCGTCTGCGCCCTTCTGGTTTTCGGCGTTCCTTCGGTTTTCGGCGCGCCTCTGGTGTTCGGCGCCCTCTCGGTTCTCGGTGGCCCTCTTTGGTCTTCGGCGCTCTGCTGGTTTTCCGAGGCGCCCTCTTGGTCTTCGGCGTCCCCTCCTTCAGCTGAAGGGGGGTGCTTCCAAGGCCCCCCCCTTGAGCCAAAAAAGGAGGAGGGGGGGGTTTCCAGCAGGGGGCGTCCGGCAGTCGACAGGGGGGGTTCAAAGGTGTGTGGGGGGGTAGCTGAGGGCAGTCGTCCATCTATGGGCTTCCCATTATCCAGAATTATGGGAAACCCATAGGTCGCCAGATTCCCGATAGGCTTCTGGCGACCTATGGCTGTCCCACAATTTTCGCAGCCGACTTATGGGAAACCCATAGGTTGCCAGGAATTATGGGAAACTCATAGGTCGCTTGAAACCCCTAGGGAATCTGGCGTCCCATGGGTTTCCCATAATTCGGTTGGGAGACTTATGGGAAACCCATGGGTCGCCAGTAATCCCTAGGGAATCTGGCGGCTTATGGCTTTCCCATACTTCGACTGCGAGAATTATGGGAAAACCAATCGTTCGGCTGGGAGAAGTATGGGAAGCCCATAGGTCGCCCGAAACCCTCTAGGACATCTAGCGACCGATGGGTTTCCCATAATTCGGCTGTGAGAATGGTTGGGAAACCCATAGGTCGCCAGAGACCCCTAGGGAATATGGCGACCTATGGGTTTCCCATAAGTCGGCTGTGAGAATTATGGGAAACCCACAGGTCGCCAGTTTCCCCATCATTCGGCTGGGAGAAGTATGGGAAGCCCATGGGTCGCCAGAAACCCCTCTGGAATCGTGCGACTGATGGGTTTCCCATAACTCGGCTGGGAGAATTTTGGGAAACCCATAGGTCGCCGGAAACCATTCGGGAATCTGGCGACCTATGGGTTTCCCATAACTCGGCGGGGAGAATTATGGGGGACCCATCGGTCGCCAGAAACCCGGGTGGTTTTTCCATACTTCGATTGTGCGAGCTATGGGAAACCCATAGGTCGCCAGAAACCCTTGGGAATCTGGCGACCTATGGGTTTCCCATAGTTTCGCTGGAAGAATTATGCGAAACCCGCGTGTCGCCAGAAACCCTTAGGGAATTTGGCGGCCTATGGGTTTCCCATAATTCGGTTGTGAGACTTGGCATCCGCAGCCGCAACCGCAGCCGCAGGAACCAGTCGTCCATCTGCGGGTTTCCCATAATTCCGAATTTTGGAGAACCATAAGTTGCCAGATTCCCTGGAAAGGTTTCTGGCGACCTATAGGTTTCCCATAATTCGGAACCTGGGCCCCGCTCGCCGCCGCGAATTATGCGAAACCCATAGGTCGCCAGATTCTCTAAAGGTTTCTGGCGACGTATGAATTTCCCACAATTTGGAACCTGGACCCCGCTCGCCGCCGCGAGTTATGGGAAACCCATAGGTCGCCAGACTCTCTATGGGTTTCTGGCGATCTATGAGTTTCACACAATTCGGAACCTTGAATCCGCCCGCCGCCCCCACTTCGCGAGCGAATTCGGAGGCGAACGTCCCCTAATTGCGCGGCGTCTAGAATTCAGTGAAATTCCACGGGGCCGCTGGCGTGGGCGAATTATGGGAAACCCATAGGTCGCCATATTCCCTAGGGGTTTCTGGCGACCTATGGGTTTCTCATAATTCGGAACTTGGGCTCCACCCGCCGCTGCGAATCATTGGAAACCCATGGGTCGCCCCATTCCCCATGGGTTCCTGGCGACCTATGAGTTTCACATGCATCGGAACCTGGGTCCCGCTCGCAGCCGCGGCCGCAGCCGCAGCCGCAACCGCAGGGGGCAGTCGCAGCTGCAGCCGCAGGGGGCAGTCGTCAATCCGCAGCCGCAGCCGCAGCCGCAGCAACTGCAGCCGCAATCTCAGCCGCAGCCGCAGCCGCAGCCGCAGCCGCTGCAGCCGCAGCCACAGCTGCAGCTCCGGCTGCAGCTGCAGCCGCAGGGGGCAGTCGTCCATCTACGGGCTTGCCATAATTCCGAAGTATGGGAAACCCATAGGTCGCCAGATTCCCTAAGGGTTTCTGGCGACCTATGGGTTCTCCATAATTCTCCCAGCCGACTGATGGGAAACCCATAGGTTGCCAGATTCCCTAGGGGTTTCTGGCGACCTATGGGTTTCCCATAAGTCTCCCAGCTCGATTTGTGAAACCCATAGGTCGCCAGATTCCCTAGGAGTTTCTGGCGACCTATGGGTTTCCCATAATTCTCCGAGCCGAATTTTGGGGAACCCATAGGCCGCCAGATTCACGAGGGAATCTGGCGACCTGTGGGTTTCCCATAACCCCAGGACGAGCTTTTTTGAGGTCGTGGGGCTCGCGTCTGACGCCCTGCGACTCCGGGTTTCCCATAATTCGCCTTTGGGAATTATCGAATTATGGGAAGCCCATCGATGGACAGCAGCCCTAAGCCGAGCCCCCCCCTCTCTTTGGAAAAGGGGGCGGGGTGGGGGGTAGCTTCCGGGCCGGGAAACGGGGGGGGATATCTTCCGAGGGGCGGAAACAAGGGGGAGGGGGGGGGCTTCGGGCAGGGGAGGTCCAAGGGGGGGGAACTAAGGGCCCCTCCTCGCCTTTGGGAGTGTTCCACGGGCGCTCTGTCTCTCTGTCTCTCTGTCTCTCTCTCTCTCTCTTTCTCTCTCCCTCTCTTTTTTTCTTCAGTTCAAATGGATCACCCCTTGTTGCATGTCGGCAGTGCTGGCGTATTTTGAAAAAAGAATCATGTTCGAATTCTGCGGACTTTTGAAAGTTAGTTTCGTGTTTTTTTGAGAAAGCCTCCACGTCCATCAATGTAGTAGCTGATATGTCGAAATGAGTTCGTCCTTCATACGTGTATGGTTTTGAAACTGTCGAGTTCCACGATCACACCTCGTTTTTTGTGAGTGGTGCGATATCAGTCTAAACGCTGGGTCTGCCCCATCGACACGGCTGGTTGTAAAACGAAGAGGGACTACTTGTAGAAATGGGGCTAGGGGAAACAGGAGGATGTGTATGATGATGCTGATGATGCTGATGATGGTGATGAGGAGGAGGAGGAGGCGGAGGAGGAGGAAGAGTGGCTGGAGAGGAGAGGGACAATCATAATGGATAGTGCCAGGAAAGAGAGGGAAGTGATGATAGGGAGGGAAGATCGGAGAGAGGAGCGCGGTTGGGGTGGTGGGTGGTGGTGGGGTAGGCAGAGAAGGACTGAGGGAGGGAGGGAGGGAGGGACGGAGGGAACGAGAGAGAGGGGGGAAGCAGAGAAAGCGGAGGCATACCCGGGCCGCAGCTGATGGGCCGCATCGCGGCGCGAGCAGGCTGCCCTCTGAGCCTGGTCGCAGACATACCCCGCCTGCAACAGTTACTCGTGTATGTTCCGATCCACTTCCGGAGGCGGGCGGGAGGAGAGAGAGAGAGAGAGAGAGAGGCAGGCGGGCGGGAGAGATGGGCGGAGGAGGAGGGAGGGAAGACGAGGGATGGACAGGGGGAGGGAGGGAGGGGTGGAAGACAGGAGGAGGAGGTGGAGGAGGAGGAGGAGGAGGAGGCGGAGGCGGAGGAGGAGGGGCAGAGGGTGGAGGGCGATGCCTGCGCAGGCGTTCCCGGCCCGCCGGGGAGCGAGGGCGAGCCGATAGTGGGGTGCTCAG